TAGGTTATCCCCATTTTACAAATAAAAAGACTGAGGTTCAGAGAGATTAAATACTTGCCAAATTTTTACAACTTGTAAATGATAAACTGAATGAAAGCACAGGAAACTGTTCAAGGCACAAAAATGTATGTTTATTGGAAGGAATATGGGGATGCTACCATACCACCATCCATACCACCATCCCAATCATCAGCCAAAATATCATAGTTCTACTTAGACTGAATATTCTAGGTGAAATTAAAGATTATGTAAAGAAAACAAATGTGAACTCTTATCAAATGTGTTGGAAACATAAAGTTAAACATATACTTTCTTGACAAATGTCTTGAGCCTTTAATGTGCTATTATGCTCCATAAGTCTCCAAGACATGTTTTATCAACACATTTAATTACCAATCCCCTCTCCACCCCCTTCTGAACACAGTAGCATCTTTTAGGGATAGCATTCCAGGAAAGCCTGGGAAATATTAACCTGAATTGTCTTTGGTTATCAATCTGCCTATGCTAAAACTCCATGGACTACTCTAATAGCATATTTCCTTCATAAAAATGTTCCTGTATTTGTCATTCCCAGAAGAAATTTATCTATTTAAATTTTTTGAAAGTTCTGATATGCAGCAGTTACTTGATAATTATGATGTAAGCTATAAATAGGAAAATAGGAATATACATACATCAGAATATATACACATGTATGTGTATGTGTATACATATCAGAAAAATATATACATATTTTTGCACACACACATATCAGAATTTACACATTCAAATGAGCTCTCCCTTAAGTGGCCACCTTGGGGAGCCATGCAACTCCCAAATAATTTTTAAATTTAGTTTTGCAATTGGCTTCAAAGAACTGTGTGTTAAGTATCCTTACAATTGTCTCATACTTTTAGGGTGGAAAGTTTCTGGACAGAACCAAAACTATTTGGGGAAAGTTGGATTTAAAACTATCCAGTAATAAAATTGATTTTCTTGTGAGACATAGAAATTGGTTCTGAGGACAATTACAAAGGTGGATTAGAACATGTGTTAGAACAGGATGGCATTGTTTAAATAGGCACATAGGCTTATGAGATGACTACTTTCAGGGAGTAAATGCAACTTGTAATTATTATGTGGAACTTATTCTTGGTACATTAAGTGAAAGGTTACATATTTCATTTGCATTTAAGCAAATAATTTAAATATGTGAAATCTTTGGGTATAAACAGTAGGTACTAAAATAAATAATGGCAAATAAGAAAGTGAATTCCCTACCTTTCAGGAATTAGAGATAAAAATTTTTAAAATTCCAGTGCATTTAAAAAAAAAGAGAAGCTTCTGTTATTGAAGTAGGAAACAGGGAAGGGGAATATCGTCTGTTTTAGTTCTTTTTTTCTTTTTAATCTCCTGAGCTTTCCCTAGAGGTGGTCCTCAAAACCCTAGGCCTTCCCAGACACATTAAATAATAAAAAAAAAAAAGTGGGAAAGTTTAACTTCAGTCAGATGCAGATTTGAATCTCAGCTAGACCATGTACAGACAAGTTACCTAATCGCTCCAAGTCTCAATGTCTTCATCTATACAGTTATAGAATTTAGAGGATTAAATTTGATAATACAAAGAATGTATCTAGCTCAATGTCTGGCATAGCCCCAAGCAAATGGTAATAATTTATTTCATGACTACAATTTAAACATCGTAATATTTTTAATTTGTGAAAGCACTGCTTTGCCACAAAATCTAACTGCCTTTGCATAGAACTTTTAATATTCCTTCTATCAGCCCTTTCACCAATATTTACTAAACATATTCTAAGCACAGACCATTATGCCAGAAACTAGGGATACAAAGATGCAACAGGTAAGTAGTGTCCTCAAAGAGCTTAGGGGTGATTGGAGAAATGAAGCTCATACCATGTTATTCTAACAATTAGAAAAATATCCAAGAAAGATACACTTGAGGAACTGTAGAACCTTACAGAGAAAAAAGCTAATTCTGACAAGGACCAGGAAAAGCTTCATGCTAAGGGATGATGAAAGAATAGGAGAGCGTCACAAGCAGAAATGTTTAGAAAGAGATGCTTTAAACAATACGAACAATATCAGCCAAAAAATGGAGACCCAAAAGTATAGCGTATTTTCAGGGATGTACATTTGGTTCAGTTGGTTTACAGTTTCAAGTGCTTAAAGGAAGTCACAATTAGAATGTCGACTCTGGACGGATTTGTGAAGTCTGAAATATTGAGTGAATAAGAACGGCCTTTGATAGGCAATGGTGAGCCAGAGAAAGCTTTTGAATATGAGAGTGGCATCGTAAGTGCTATATTTTATGATGCCTAATCTGGAAGCACCCCATAGTGTGTACTGGAAAGAGAAAAGATTGAAAGCAAAAAGACCAATAGTGATGTTATTGATGTAATCCACAAGGAAATGGAGGTGCGCTTCAGACCACGGAAGGAAAGGCACAGTGGTGGCTGAAGGCTGACAGAGTAGAGGACTTCTTTGGAAATTGTGCTTCCATACCAAGCACAAAAAATAACTTAGATTTTATGCTTTTGTGGGATGATCTTAAGCATGCTAATGGAGATAACTAAGGTTAGTCTTTGGATCAACTGAAGGAGTCCTAAAGAGGAAATGCCTAGGAAAGTGGCCACAGAAATGGAAAGATGGGGATGACTGTGAGAGAAAGACTTGGCAATAAATAATTCAAGGTTCAAATCACCAATTGATCTATTTCTGTCTTTGAATGACATTTTTCTTTAATGTTTGCTACTTGGTCATGTCCACAATTTTTATCTCAACTTACCTGGTCCTTGGTATGTCTATTAAAGGAAGGCTGTCCTTACATCATTTCTCTTCCTTGACATTGATCCAGTACAGCTAATGCAGAAAAAAAAATTCTTTGCTTTTTACAGAGCTGTTGATCATTCTCAGAATAAGAGAGTAAGTCATTTTGAGTCAGCAACTACCTATTGTGTTGACTCTAACTTCCTTCAAACCAGAAAGTTATAAATAATAATGACGGGGTCCTTAGAGAAGATAAGAAGCCAGACGCACTAGTCTTCTGTGACATACAAGGGAGTAGAACTTTATGCAACAACAGAATGTTTTCACATGTTGTATTGGCTCTTGGTGTTGGGTTACGCACTGTAAAAGGAAAATTTATTCAAGTCACTAGAGTCTCTTATACTTAATATTTTAAATAACTAGATGATTACTCTCCTACTGTAATAATGACTGAAATATTGCTCCCTGATAGCACTTGTCTTTATATATATTTAAACTTTCTATGGAAATATTTAGTCCTACACTAAGGCAGAGCAGTAGAGTATAATGAACGCCACATACCGTTCACTCTGCTTCATTCATTATTAATATTTTGTCAAATGTTGCCAACGTTTTTATTATCCCTCATACATTTTACTGAAATATTTTAAAGCAAATGTCAAACACATTATTTGAAAATAATTCAGTATGCATCTCTAACTGGTAAGAACTATTCTTATTCTTGACATAATGAGCATATCCTTTTCATACCATAGATCCTTAATATCACCTATCGCACATGTCATATACACATTTCTCCAATTATGTCAAAGATGTCCCTTTAGAGTTAGTTAGAATCAGGAGCAGAACAAGGTCCACACATCATTTTTGGTTACTATGTCTGTCACATATTATGATTTGATTATTTGATTATTATGTCTACAACAGTCCTCCCTCATTTTTTCTTGACATTTATTTATTGGAAAAACAAATTTCATTTCATGTTTTATAATCAGGTTGTAACACTATTTTCTACTTCTAAAGCAAAACAATAACTCATCCAACATTTATTCAACTATTGTATAATGAACAATTACCATGAATAGGACAGTACACTAGGTGCTGAGTGGAACTCACAGATGTCTGTAAATCATGGTCCTTACCTCCAAGACTTTACAATCTGGAGGAGAAGGAAAAATAAAAATACAAAAATATAATGACAACAACATAGCAATAGAAGTTAATTAAGTGGCATAGATACTATAGTTTCAAATTGTAGTTACTATGGTTTGGAAGATGAGGAAAATCTTTTTGGAAAAGTTAGCATGGTAAATGGATGGGTTAGAGTGACCAGTAATTCAAGAGGAAGTTAGGTTGGCAGAGAGATAAAAAGAGAAAAGTTTGTTCTGTGATTGAAAAACTCGGGAAGGAAAAAAAAAAAACACATAAATCTTAGAGGTGGGAAAAGTGAGAGATATATTCAAGGGATTATAACTAAAATCATTCAGCAGGAACAAAACATTTATAAAAGGGATATGCCTAAAAGATAAGTAGGGGGCAGGTTTGGGAGGATATTGAGCACATAAATCTTAGAGGTGGGAAAAGTGAGAGATATATTCAAGGGATTATAACTAAAATCATTCAGCAGGAACAGAACATTTATAAAAGGGATATGCCTAAAAGATAAGTAGGGGGCAGGTTTGGGAGGATATTGAGCAGCAGGCTACATAACTTGAACACCGTCCTCTAGAACAGGGAGTCACTAGCTCCATTCATTTCTCCATATACGGGAGACTTTTGGACATTATGTAAACATAGATGTTTCATTAGTAAGCAAAATGCATGAGCTCATTTCATAAGGGAATTTAAAAAACTGTTTATGCATTCTAATTTCAATCGTTTTCAAATATTTATAGAAAATTGGCAAGTAATTTAATATTTTATTTTGCCCAACAGCTAGATGCTCCACTTAGAGGAAGGCAAATAAATTGGAGCTGACTTAACCAACATCCACTACACAGCAGCTGAGAGAACTTCATAAAGCAAGGGTTAATTGTAGCGCAGTATAAAACAACTCAACAAATTAACGTGGGAAAGATAGAAAATGACTCTACTACAGATAGACACACTAGCTCTGCAAACCTCAAACTAAACGTTGCATCTATTATAAAAATACAGTGGTTTATAATACATCTGTTTTTCTGTTTATCAATTATAAATATATATTGACCCATAAATTCTCTCTTTACCAGAATAATGCTAATTGATTTTCATTATTAAAAGATCTTCAAATGACACCTGAATTATCAAAATCATCAAAGAAAGTATACATTGAACTTAATGTAGCTTTATTGGTAAGTATTCTTGCATGTTTATTCTTTAATAAAATTGTGATCCATGTATTCTATATCATGTAGACTTTTAAATATTTTTGAGGGCCCACATACGTCGGACTTTGTGCCAGGCTTTTCAAGGAATAAAATTTTGAGGCAATAAGATGTGGTCCTGGTATTCCAGAGGCTTGTATTCTAGTACATATGATTAAATACAAACATATAGAAGTAAAACTATGGTCAGGGTTGAAATAGAGGTGTCGGATTGGATTAGGTTAAGGTTTCTCAACAGCACCACAATGGAAATTTTGGTTCAGATACATCTTAGTGGTGGAGAGCCATCCTATATATTGTGGGATATTTAACAGCATCCCTGATCTCTATGTAGTAAATACCAGTAGTAACTCCTCTGTCGTGTCAACCAGAAATGTCTCTAGATATTGCCAATGTTTCCTGGGGACTGAATGCAAAATCACCTGCAGTTTTGAACCACTGGACTGAAGGGAAAGTTCTATATACATTTTGCAAATGAAGACAACTTCCAGTTGAGGAAATTAAGGAAAGTTCATGGAGGTGTGGGAGCTGATATAAATAGGTTAAAGCAAGTGGATGAATATAAATTATGTTCAGGGGCCATATAGCAATCAGTGTTTGGGAGGTGGTTAGTAAAAAAAAAAAAGAACTTGATAGAGAAAAAAGTAATCAAATTATGAAAGTCCTCGAATATAAAGTAAAGAGAATGTTTTTCATTTTGTAGAGATGTCTTTTGGATATGTAAGTGAAATGAATAAAGCACCATTTTGGAAATGTTAATATGGTA